GATTTCATTTCAGATTAAAAAAATAATGATAACAGTGAAACTGATATAATTCATTGGTTCTATACCTGAATATCATGGAAATATAATAATCAATCGGTCTTAGTGAATATCTAAATTCAAAGCTTTTAAAAGTAAGAATAAGTTTATCGGATCCTTAAAATGGATTATGAGACAGAACTAAATAGGTTTCTGCCGACTCAGCGGTCCAGTAGGTTAGGCGTTCACGCGCGAGACTGAAGGCCCTGGGTTCGAATCCCGTGAGCGGGATCGCAGATGCGCGCTGCCGAGGATTCCCGCAATAGGATGAAACGGTCGTCCAGTGCTTCCAGGTTTCCAAATTTGGTATAAGATCGGTCGGTTCATGATCTCAATCAAAAACTAAATAAATATAGTTTAAGCATAGTGATAAAGATGTTCATACATATAACGATACATCGTGCCAAATGTACAGATGAATTGTGAAGTTCACATTAATTGGTCTTTATTCCTATGTACCCGTTGATAGTCGTTAACAGGTCTTTAATTAGAACAACATATATTGACGAACAATGTTGTTTTCAGTTTGATCTTTATTAAGCTTCATTGTAATATGCAGAACGATTTAAATGTATATCTAAAGAATTGAACTAGTCAAGGCATTTTATAAATCATTGAGAACAACTGAATGGATTATATTAATAAATAAGTAACGTTCATATGTATCTACGAGTTCAGCTGCTGTTGCAGAGAAAGTTATGTCGGGAGTAAAACTAGACAATTGATATAGTAAACTAACGAACACCTATCTTCGCATTATAAGAAGAGATGATAGTGATTAGCATCCACGACCTCGCCCCCTGCGAGATTCGAATCCAGGACCTACTGGTTGCGCGTGTGAGCACCTAACCACTAATGAATTCGATGATATTTCAGATAAGTCACAAGGAAGCTGTCAATTCATAATACAACTGAACTTAAAACTACTATTGTAAACAAATTATTTAACATAAATCATATTCAATCTTTTCTTTTTGAAAAAAAATAATGTTTTTTGATTTTTTTTTCTGAGAACCTTTTTCATCCATCTGCTTTGATTATCAATTTCTTTATGATCTAGTTTTCCTTCTTCTTTCAATATAGAAGATTTAGATTGTATAATTTCGAATAGTTACTATTACAAATAAAGAGTACTGATTATCTTTTCCCATTTCCTATCATATCAATTAAGAAAATTCTAGTTTCTATTTTGTAACATTTATCTTATTTTCGTGATATACTATCATACAAAAGTTTATTTTATATATAATATTATATATATATATATAATTATATATATATATATATATATATATATATATATATATAGTTTTCTATCTATAGCTTATTGATAATCATTTACATTAAATAAATGATGAAATGAAATAGATATATACAAAGATAGATGTAAAAATAAACTGACCAAACATTATGTCTATTATGAATCTATGCTTCAGTCTTGGGATACAATTCTCTGTATGTCACCTGTTTATATGATGTAGATATTCGGACCAAAGTAGGTAAAGTTAATATCAAACTTACAATATGAAGATTGAAAGCCTAGAATATGGTTTACTTATAATCACAGCAGTCAAATTGAATGAATAATCAAATACATATGTAAATCAAAACATCACTTAAAAAACTTGAGAACACTGGATAGTTGTTTGATTGTAGTGTGACACTTCACAACAGTAGGCATTTATGATCTCTCATCCAGAGAGCGGACACAGGACTTACGCTTCCACACGTACTCTTAACCTCTAAACAAGTGAACTGGTATCCGATGGTAAACATGTCTCACTTTAATAAATTCACGATAATGAGTAATCCTAGTCTGTCGACTATCGTGAGCTATTTCTCACCCAACATAGTTGAATTAAACTGGTCATGATTTCTCACCAGATCTCTAGGAATAAACTCTCGAAGCCGGTGAACAGTTGGTTATTAGTATAGGGAATTTGCATGAACTGGAATTACTTAACAGCCATTTCGTTCTAGTATAGGACTTTTCAGATGCGTGAAAGATAGTTGATTTAGTTTACATATGTATTCGATCATTCAATTTCACTGCTGTGTTTATTAATAAACAATATTTTGGGCTTTAAATTTTCATACTGTAAGTTCGATAATAATTTTACCTACTTTGGTCCGAATATCAAAATCTTATAAACAGGTGACATACAGAAAATTGTGTCTCAAGACTAATTTTTTTAATCGATTACGATTCACCAGGTTATTAGATGAATAGTAAATATTAGGTTGGTCAAGAGTTACTTCAGAAAATTTGGCTTAAATTCACTTAACCACCATGTAGAAAACATCTGGTCAGTATCGCTTATTTGATTTTCATCATGATAGTAAAATGTCTATTTTAAGATTGATATAATGAATGGATCGATGTCAGACCACTATTGAAAATCTGGAAGTACTGAAAGATGTTTCGTCCTGGTATGAGACTCCTAAGCACTACGAATCCACGATCTTGCCCGCGGAACTCGAACCCAGGACCTTCGGCCTCGCACGCGAACGCTTAACCTCCAAATCCTTACACTACTAAAATATCTGCCATTGTCAACATTATATCCTCCTACACAACATTGTAAGTGGACGTTATGAAGGTCATGTGAGCTGTATATGTATGGGACACAATATGGTAAACCTGGATATAAATATATATCATAAATTGGTTTATCCACATAGTATGTGATAGAAAGATTGCATGTTACGATATTTTTGTCTAACGTTTTGAAATACACAGAACATTTGTACAGTACATACATTTGTATGAATAGTGTGAAAAATCTCAGTAACATATAGTCGATGATCGTAAATATTACATATACTGATATATAAAATTTACTTCTGAAGATCCATAAAAGTAAATATCAAAACTAACTGATCACTGAAAGAGGAAGTAATAGAATTGGGAAGATTTTCTTATGTTCGCTAAATACAAATACCTTTTCATTAGAAGAAGCTTATGGCAAATTGATTAAAGTATAAACTGTACATCAGCTTCCATCAATAGCTCACACAAAGATGGATGTCTTGATATATAACGTTTTAATTACTTGGAATACAAATGGTTTTATTCATGAATAACATGATAAGTGTTTGTTTTTTAGGACTAATGAAGTGACAAATAAAGATACTAATTAAGTTGCCAAATGATTTTTAATTTTTACTGGTAGTATCTATGACTAGGATACATAATGGAGTAAGTCTGAATCAAAAAATCAAACCGGATCTATGTATTCAAAAAAAGACAGTAATAAACCTATCACTACCCTGATAATCCACTTCTTTTCTGTTTTTGGTCATTAATTTTGTTAATGCTTAGTTTGTGTTATATTAATATTCCATTACCGAATTCTTAAAGTACTCCTTCCCTCATACATTTCCACTCACTCGATTCGCTTAAATTATGTAAACTCTTCAAATTCTATTCAATTATTACGTAACCCAACTTACCAGTGTTTTAATTCCATTAGTCTTATGTAAACCTTTCATTACCTGTAAAATTATCACATAATTCATCTTATCTGTCTCTGAACTTCACTCAGCTACATCATTAGACCACCCATCCCTAATGTTTCCTTGATTCTAACACCAAATAACCCCCTGACTCGTTCTTTCATATATATATAGTTATTATTGATAACCCTTGTGATTTTGGTTCTTCACATTCACTTATGTCAGTTGTTTTACACTATATCTAACCTCAATGTAAAATTCTAATATCAGTTTAACAATGTTCAGATGTTTCGTCCTTCTAAGGAGTCTGATATTATCAGTGATACTGTAGCTGAAATTTAACTGTGGTGAAAATACAACCCACAAATCTGTTCTACACGTTTCAGTTGAATTATTCGCCTTTTTTTCTACAATTGCATATACAACCATTTATGATCTATTGTGATAATAAATATTCACTGTCTACATAGTAAAACAGATATAAGGCACTTCACTGTAAATCCGAAAATACTTTCTATTGGGGATTAAATTATGCCGACGCATAATAGATTTTTCACTAATAAGTTCTTGGTTATAATGATCAACATTCAATTGGTTTCACCAAATGATTATAGGGGTTGATCTTAAGAAACAGCTTAATGTATTAGTTTAAAAATTATTCTGTTCGACATCAATTATAAAACGTAAATATTATTATTACCGAATCATGTAAATTGATATTAATCCAGGATTAAACATCAATGTTTCCGTCATTTTAAATAATATTCAAGTGATATATAACCTGATTAATGATATTGTTTAATTTGATATATACACTTTAATACGTGATCATTCAATTTATTTAATGTAATATTTTTGATAAGTAAGCTATAGATGGCCGTTTCTTCCTAGTATAGAAATCTTCAAGAAGAAATGTTCCTCCAGTGCTTCCAGGTTCCCAATAGTGAACTAACATTATTAAATTCATGATCTCAATTAAAACTCAACAATCCCTAAAAACCTGGACTGATATAAATTTATGATTTTAAAGAGAGCAAGAACAAAGGTTGGTGCAGAATAATATGAATTCATTTTATTTCGTCAGATTCTCATCAGCTGCTTACAACCTAAAATATTTGAAATTTAACGTTATTATAGGTATTGACATATTTATACATCAGAGGGTGATGAAGGATGAATATATGTAACATGATGTAGCTAAGATTTCGTTAGAGTTATTGAAGTCATGAAATTTTGTTTCGAATAAATTGAGTTTGGGAGGAAAGGTTCCAGAACATTGAAATAGTGATTCAAAGATTAATTTACTTCTTTTTTTTTTTAAAAAAAAGTTACATATATAATAATGGAATTCTGTTCAGTCTTAGACAATAAACAAAATGGAATACACCCATTAAGACATTAAATAAAAAAGATTAGTTCAGTAAGTGTTCGCCAAAAGGAGAACTCTTCACTGAACTAATCTTTCTTGTTTAATAACTAAAAACAACTATTCATTATCATTAACTTACATTTATTCAATAGAACCACTGATAGTAGGGTATATTTCAATGTTTAGACTAATTATTTATGTCAAAAATATTCTCTGATGAAATAAATTCAACAATTATATAATTGAGATTTAGATTCAATAAAAAATGAGTTGGATATAAAATATTTGTTTGTTTTTTTTAAGGGGGGAAGGGGTATAATAAACATATAACATTTACTCAAATAAATGCATATTAAGATTTAGCCTTGAATTTGACCAATCATAAAATAAGACGATGCAGTTATACTATTGGTGTAATATATTTGTAACATTGTCCCATATTGGCAGTAATACATTTAAAGCCTGTTACTCTAAATGGTCCAATTTTAATATTGTTGAAGAATTAAGTATAAATCTTTGACTAAAAATGACACTGTAAAATAATTTTAAAAATTTATTTTTTTGTTCTTAAAAGGAATAATGTTTAAAGAAGGAACGAATAGAGGGAAGAAATTTCTTTTCAATTCACTAATGTTTAGTGTGAATACTGGTAGATATAAATGAAAATTATATCGTGAATTAGTTGAGTTTAGACATTATCATCGCTGGGTGACGGCCGGCTCCGTGGTCTAGAGGTTAAGCGTTTGTGTGCGAAAATAAAGGCCTTGGGTTCTAATCCCTCGAGTGGGATCGTGGATGCGCACTGCTGAGAAGCTCCATAATAGAACGAAACGGTCGTCCAGTACTTCCTGGTTTCCAATGATTGACTAACATTAATCGGTTCATGATCTCAGTCAAAAAAATATTTCTCTTTTATTGGTTTGTTTAGAAATCTACCTGTCATTGAATTAACCGAATATTCCAACATTCAAATCTTTTCTTTTAACAAAATAGCCTCAGGGTTCTTTTTAGAAAATGTTATATTCAAAGAAACTTGACTGTTAGTAGAAAAAAAGATATATGACCTGATCATACCATTGCATGACATGTTTCTTCTTACTGAACACCCTTGTAATTATTATTATTATTATTATTATTATTATTATTAGTAGTAGTAGTAATAGTAGTAGTAGTAATATCATAACTATTCTATCAATAGATCTACTGTACAGAAATAACATTTTTTTCGCAACGTTGTTTTACTTTTTATTCATGTCGATTCTTGATTATAGCAAATATTTCAACGTTATGTTAGGATGTATGCATATGTAATACAAGATGATATGAATTGTTGTCGAGATCATTAATCAATGTTAAAACACCAATGAAAACCCGGAAGTATTGGACGGCCGTTTCGTCATAATATTGACTACTCAGTAGTGCACATCCATCGCCACGGACGAGGTATGCGAACTCAGGACCTTTGATCTCGTATGAATGCTTGACTCATTGATCATTGAGCTGGAATGTAACGGTGTTATTGCATAGCATAAACCAATCCCCGATATTGCCTGACCATAATATGCTAGTAACCACCTTTGAGAGGTAATCCTCGGAGTTCTAATGAGACACCGTTATCAGTGAAATTCAACCGTGTCGGGTGTGAAACAGTTATCTACCTCAGATAATTGATGAAGGGTTAGACAAGATCATGGATAGATTGAAGTTAGACATTAACACTGTTAGATGTCGTCTCACTGGTCTTGAGGTTAGGCGTTCGTGTAATACCGACGGTCATGGGTTCGCGTACCACGTGAAGGCTCACTACTGAGTAGTCTCATATTATGACAAAACGGTCGTCTAGTATTCTCAGGTGTTTTAAATGGTGGTCTAACATTGATTGCTTCATGATTTCAATTAAAACTAAACAATCTTCACAACCTTATATTGATATAAACTAATAGATCTTTTGTCTTTCACAATAAATAATTTTCTACGATAAATCTTTGATATCAAAATGTTTGTTAAGAGATTTAGGTTTGTCATAAAAGATTAGAAGGCAGTAAGTCGCATATATATGTCTTGAAATTTATTTAGCAACCTGCATTATTGCAAATTTATTGACCATAAATTGACTGAGTGGTATATCGTATTTACGAACAAAGTATTTTCCATACATGCCGAATTCTAGTTTGTTAATTGTTACACTGGGATTTGTTATTCATGAATTCTTGAAAAAATTGTATGAAATTAACGTTTTAGCATTTCACTACAAACTAGATGCACGTTGACAACTAAATATCAGTGTTTATACGTTTATCGAACTAGTATCACCGATCTTCGATCGAGAAAGAAATATCTGCTCAATTTCATTGGTCATTATTTTATTATCTATACATCAATTATATATTAATTTTATGACACAAATATCAAGTTATTTAAATAATTGAAGCTATGTATATGAGATCGCCTCCTAGATGTGTACGAGAGATTGGCTACGCCACTTTGTTACATAAATTTAAAGCATAATGTGTTCCTTTTCTGTGCTTTCAAATGATGTTGTGAAAACCATAAGGGGGAGTTTAAGCTCATTTAATTATCTCATTTGTATAATGATAAATAAACAACGGCGGGCAAGAATATTTGACTGTTTTAACAGATCGTTCAATCATTATCAGATAAGAAACATATATTCAATATTTCCCTGTGATAACGCGTGTTTAATGAAAACGAGTAAAGTCAGCCCATAAAGTGAACAGGAAATTAGGAGAACACTCTGGAAATGGATAGGATATACATTACAGAAATCACCAAACTGCATAACGAAGCAAGTGTTAACATGGAATCCTGAAAGGAAACGGAAAAGAGAAAGATCAAAGAGCATATTATCATAATACATAACTATCGATATGAAAGTGTTAATTAACGTGAAAAGATCAGGTGGGAATTTCTAGTAGTTTTATCACTACTGAAGTAATGCATGAAGAGCAAGTGTTAAGTATAATACCTAAGCAAAGTGAAAGTAAACAAAATATTGACACTTATATCTCATTGAAAGAGAACATCAGTATCAGAATAAGCCAATCATTTTAATTCTCGAACTGAAAGATCCTACCTGTCATACAACGTAGCTTTGATGTTTAATTAGATTGTTTCACTGAAATCATGAACCGATCATGGTTAAGTCACCGTTGAAAACACTGTGAATACTAAACGGCCGTTTTCCCACAGTATGAGACTACTCAATAGTGCACATCTACGATCCCTCACGCGGTAGGCAAACCGACAACCTTCAGTCTTGTGAGCGAACGCCTAATTTATTGACCATTGAGCTGGAATCCAGCTGTGTTAATGTCTAACTTCTGTTAATTCATGTCATTGCATGACTATCCTTCATTAGTTTAATGGTCCTAATTCTAGTTTATTTTTGTTCAACAAAGTAGACTTACATTTCGTTTGTAAGAAAATTAGAATTTAGAAATGCTATTTCATAAGCTACTCCAATAATTCTTGCTATTTTTACATATAATACACACCATAAATTGGTACAATTTCAAAATATTGTGCGATTGTATAGTTTGTGATCAATAGCTTGAAATGAAATTTTAGTGGCGCCACCTAAATCGTATGGTGATTGTTATCAAAATATACATACCGCCAACCCTCGTATATTTTTATCGACCTAATAGAGAATAATGGAATACAATAAATCAAAAACGAGGACGAATTTTGAATACGTATATTTTATACACTCATTGATCCAGACAGACAATCAGAGAAACGTAGTGATGGAAGCGAAGCAAAACCAAACGAAGCGATGAGCAGCGGAGATTATTATTATTATTCAACATTATATTTTTGGTACAGTATAGAATTCTCAGCATAAAGTATTTCAGCAAGTTTCCTTTTCTTATGTCTTGATCGATTCTGACGATAAATATTGAGTGATGGCCAGTTAGATGTTAGGAATTCGGTATTCCACATTTGAATAATGTTCATGCGTTTCAATGCATATTGCTAGCCACCATGATGTCGCTGATTGTACCTTTTTGTAACCCGTACAGTGAAAGGTTGTAAACTTTTCATAAACGCGCCTGAATAGGTTGTGAGCTCAATAGACATAGATGTGCTAAGAGAAACAAAAGAAACCCAGATAATTTGACGAAATATCTAGATGGGAGGAACAGGTGGCCCAGATATCCAAGCAGTCCGCAGATTGGCGAGTGAGCCAACTAGTTTTAATCAAGCGTTACTCAGTATTTATATTTAGACCAAAAATAAGTTACAGACATGTGATGAATAGGTTAAGTAATGCACACACACCCACTTAAAAACAGTCAAGGTTGATAAGCAAGTAATTCACAAGGTCAAAATGTGACTCAAGAAGAATAAATAAATCGAAATAGTACCAGCCACTACGTATGCGATATGTAACCGATTCAATAATTACCCATAATATGTTAGAAGACAAAGTAACTGGTTAGAAATATATGAATTGTTTTATGCAAAAAAAATACACAGTATTTAACACAATAATAAACATGAGTAAAACTTATTCAACACGTAAGTGCCTTATTTTGAGCTTTGCAAAATATCATAATAATTATGGATTCACAACTGTAGAGTCTTGTGATGAAGCTAGTGAAAACAGTTGTTCGCTCAAATAATCTTTGTATTTAGTAACTCAAATCATTATAAGAATTATAATTCATAGATCATTCCACCAAACAATAATGACCTTAATCCCAAGCCCACTTATTACGTACTACTTCGCACATTCATCATTTTGGTCTTTCATTGCAAATTGTAGTTTCGTTTGCTATGTGAAACCAACATGGCTTATTCTAGCTTCCGGACAGTCCAACTTATTCATTCTTCTTGGGTCACATTTTAACTTTATTAATTATTCGCTTATCAACCGTGACTGTTTCCATATGAACGTATGTATGTTCATTTCTTATCCCACTCATCACATGTCCCTAACTAGTTTTTGTCTGATTATATATATCGATTAACGCTTGATTAGATCGAGTCGGCTCACTCACATTCTCCATCGCGTATCATTTTGTTTTACTTCGCTTTCCGATTAACGACTGTATGAAATATACATATTTGAAAATCCATCCTCATATTTAACTTATTTAATTCCATTATTCACCAACGCGAGTTAAGTCGATAATTATAGACGAGGATAGACGATATGTGTATGTTTCAAAAATAATCGATCATACGATCTAAGTGGATTCAGATATTCCCAGTCCACTAAAATATCATAAAATATTTCACATAATATTTTAATAACGCTTCTTGTGTAAATATTTCTATGTAACTCT